CGCAGCTAGAAGCCTGCAGCCCGTAGCCCACGGTCCGCAGTCCACAGTCAGTCTGAAGATTCCGCGGTTGCAATACCTCGAACAACAACTGCAGTCCAGCAACCTACAGCAGATCTGTACTCCAGCCGTAACCCCACGCTGTCATTCAAACTTCCATCGAAATAACGCAATCGGCGAACTCCCCTAACACAATCGGATACTTTGCGCCGTTGAGCACATACCTCCAGCCGTAGTTCGTACCAGTGCTAACCATGGTACGGCGGCTCCAACCTCAGTCACCTCCTACTTTAGCCCAGTAGACTGGTCCGTATTCCGCCTCACAGGCAGGATTCTAACCCCGTCCGTCACTCCTTCCGCTCCATAAGGCAGGCAACACCTCAGTCAGGAAGAGCACGACAATGCCGGTCGTCGAAGGAGAAGCGCTGACGGCAGGATGGAATCGGCTTCTGACAAGCTACACGAGCTCCATACGAATCTTTCGCCGGAACGTAGGAATGTTCGTTGCCACTTCGAATCTGCCCCTCCCACTTGCAGTCTCCCACGGCTCATTTTTCATCTATCTCGCATCGCCACTATTCTAAGGCAACGGTAAGTGTCCGCTCTCTCTCTCTCTCTCTCTCTCTCTCTCTCTCTGATTCACTGGTTTGGCGCCTACTCGTCGACTGACCCGTACCCCCCTTCTCTCCGCTGCTAGCTCCTCACCACTTTCCCCACAACCGCATAGGGAACTCAAATGAATCTACCGCTATAACCCGGAAATATACATTAATATTCTTCAAAAAGTTCCTCTTCCCTGGGCGTAACACCATACACCTACAACTTCTAAACTGCTAGTCTGACAATCAATCTAACCTCGGATCCGAGGTCGCCCCACCTTGAAACCTCGGTCCCACACCTTCGACCGCCCGATTCTGTTACGAATCGGGCAAACTATGTATTTTCCTCCCCGTTTATAGCCAACGTCGTTTTCCTTAACGCGCAGCTTCTATACACATACTGGTCATACCACCCATCCTACACCAAATCTGACGTTGCCATTAGCTTCGCCCGACCCCAAAACTTCAGTTTAGCACTTTAGATTGCTCGATGCTATCAAGAATCGAGTAAGATGTCAGTTTCCGGTTCCTTCGATACTACACCCTCCATATCTCCGCGCACCTCTTTTTCTCACTAACTCCTAACTTACCAATCTTTTACTAATTTTGACTTCCAAATCGCAATCGCCAACCCAAAAAACCCCTACTTGGTAACTTCTCCCACCCATTTTCATGAAGAAACGGGTGGATTAGCCGATTCTCATCCCCATCATAGCTGCTTCTACTCGTCTACCTCTGCTTCCTTTTCCCGAACGAACCCGGTGCAAAAATGCGTCCGGATTCTCTTTCTCCCCATCGCTGCCTCGTGCTACCCGTTTGGCCCTCTTCCTACAGTTCAGCGCCCGTTCCATGTCGTCCCCCGCTCCGTTCGTGCCCCTCCCCGTCCATCTCCACGCTCTTCTTTACCTTCGACTGTACCTGGCACGAAAATGCGCCCAAGTACCTATGCTCCCCCTTGCTGCTGTCACTCACCTCGCCTACTACCTATCACCCGTCTTCCTGCTGCGCTGTTGCTCCGCCCGCCATTGCCTGCTTTTACTGCCTCGGCCCGTTGTCTCCCCGCCCGTTTCCGCTCAGGATCGCGACCGTGGTGTCATCTCCACTGCGCCTTGCTCCAGCTTCCGCCACCTCTAATCCCTCTACGCCGCATGCATACACCTATCGCGGTTTTCCGTCCCGGTACATTGCTTCGTTTTCACCCCCGTCACTCTCTGCCCCACTGCCCGTTGGTTCACGTTGTCGTCACCACTACTTCGTCTTCGCTGACCTCCTGTCCCAGCGCCCGCTCTCTCGTCACTCGATATGCGGCCAGCCCGCAGCAACGGGATGCAACGGAGCTCAATGGAAACCCACAAGGTTTGGTCGTTCCCCGATTTATGCCCGCCCTTCACGCACAGGGGTCGTACTAATCCTCTCAGTCTCGTTCCAGCCTTAGCGGATGATCCGCGGGGCTCAGTCGGGCCGTGCCCCGCGGTGTTGCCTCTTGTCCCGAGGGGAATGGGACTGCTGCCTAATGGAAGGGAAGACAGAATATGACAAGGCAAAAAAAAAGAAAAAAAAAAAGAAAACAATAAAAGAAATTCACCTATGTAGAGTCTACAATTTCCTAGGACTGAACCGTTGGCACCTCGCAAGGCCCGTACGTCAGCTTGTCGCCATACCCGCCAGCAAAAGCCTGAGGGGGATAGCCCCGGCGGGCCCTCGGCCCCTCGACTTTCTCCTCGCTGCTCCGCTGCGCCCCCGCTCCCGCACCACCGCTCGCTGGCCTCGATCCCAGAACCTCCCTGGCAATAGCCTTGCACCGTTACCTATAGGGCTAGGCCCCAACTTGAGATCAGCAGGCGCTAATTCCCACATGAAGTGGTACAATCTGGCGGCTAAGGCTGGCGCACGCCTGAAGGCTCACCCCTGCCTATAGACGAGTGCACGGCCGCTGCGCAACCTATGTCATCCCGCGGGACCACCCCACCTACAGTCCTTGCCGCCGGTCAGACAAGGAGACCAAGGGTCGGCCTACTAACCCTCGGCTTAATCAAGGGCGCGATGTCAGGCCGGACCCCTGCGTCCGCATTACGATCAAAGGGGCGAAATCACACGCGCGCCTTGAACTGCGCGCCTTGAACTGCGCGCCCACTCACCCTACCTACTTAGGCAACCTTGGTCCATACACAAGTAGCCGTTTGAACACACAAGCCAGGACCATCGACCCCGCTTTCACTTGCAAAAACCAGGGCGAATACCCCTGCCAGGGTATTCACGCCGACAGCCTACCGGACTATAGTAAGCGACGTCCCCGTCGCTTCGCAAGATCAAAAAGCTATCAATCCACCTACACATCAAAATGTTGACGAGAAGGAACCAATCCGATCCGCCGACAGACCTGGGTTCGAGGCCCCCAGCGGTCCATGCCCACACAACTGTATGCTGCCAGGGTTTCAACCTGGGTCTCCATTGTCCTGACGCTAGGACGCCGGTGTACTACGCATCAGTACTACAGCATAAGTTCAAAAAGGCCCTCATACCCATCCTCGCCCCTCTGTCCTAGACAAGCGTCGACCTCTTATTGGGTGTCCCCAGCCCGTACTTGGTAAACAGGGTCATAACTGGGGACGTGGGCCTTGACCGAGACCTTTGAAGGCTTTTTGCCTTTCTCTCAAGAAACCCCTCATAATTAGACACATAGTTATATGCGCCCTTGACTCTCTCTCGGCAGCTTCCGCAGTCTAGTACGGAAGTGCTAGGTCTCCATCTTGGCCCACCATAGTCTGGTCGATCAGGCCAGATCTACGGCCCACCGCGTTGTTATTCTAGCGGTAGTGCCCTCGCAGGTTGCGCCACGATGAACTTTCTCCTGATAAACACTTAATCAGGACTTCCCAAAAGACTTATATGACTCGACTCCTATCCCAGGCCATTCCACAGGGGTAAAACCTACTCGGGCGGCCACACCCTTTAAGCCTTTATTCTCGTGGTCTAACGTGGGCCCGCGGTCAGGTTGTGCCGGTCCGCGGCCATCCCTAGGGGTTACGCCCTAGTGGTGCCAAAACTTTACCGTTTAGCTTGGTCTCCCTTATGTGCCTTGAGATTAGCGCGAGCGGCTGGACGGTGCGTCGCAACAAGTACGGGCCTACTGCGGGACTGCGCATAGGCTCGTCACACATGATAGGCATTTACCAGCTCTCTGTGGGACAACACAGCGAAAGCATGGCAACCTCTCTACATTCACAACCACAAGGCACCGCTAGATCCACCCGGCCGTGACTCCCCAACTTGATCAGGGTAAGCGGGTCACACGTCTCAGCGACACTTTTCAAAATCAAACATTTTTGCAACATTCTCAATAAATCTTACCGAGTGGCCAGTAAAACCTGGTTCCTTTCGTCAGTCTTTTCATCTTACCAACTCAACTTTTCATGCCATTAGATCTATTAATCATCCTCCCTATAAGGGAGGTCCCACTCAATAGGTCTGTCAGCCACCCCTCTCTTCCTAGGATGAACTCTCACATAATCTTTGTAAAACATCTTCCTTTTCTGAAGATAAGTTTCCCAAATAAATCCCAGTGTACAATTTAATCATAACAACAACACAACACAAGGGACCAACTTATGGGTCCCTAATACAACTTAGATACTTAAACATTTGGCATGATAAGCTTTTTCGAGTCCCAAGGATTCGTGGACCCTTTAGGATTTTTTTTTACAACGTTCTTTCACAAGACAGACTGCGCTCCCTCTTCTTATACTCGGCTCTAGCATCTGCCCATGGGCAGGTCGCACGAGTATACCGAAGAGTAGACAGTTTACATTCACTCATAAGGCATAAACATATGAGTTATTTGTCACACAAATTCCACATAAATCATCATACATCGGGAACCCACACATGTGAGAGTGAGAGTGATCGTCATATACAGGGGAATGGTCTCAAAACCTCGCCCAGTATATACTCAACAATAGAATACCTCACAAAACTCAAGATCAATACTCAAGTCATCTGTCCTTTCTCATATCTAGTGGGTTCATACCCTAAATGTTACTAATTCTCATAACACTCCTAGGTAGACTCTGATCTCGAAACAAAACGCAATACAATTAGGTGTCCTAAGCATTACACAACTAAGTCTCAGTCCTTGGATCATAATGCGAAAAGAACCTCAAAACCTTATTGTACATTGGTCCTTTGTCGCACACAATACCCTAAGATACACGTATCTGACTCGCGACACCCTATGCCCTTGACTCACTCTTCTTATGTACAGAAAAACACCTCGCTTCTACTAGCGTAGAGGCGAACCAGCCCCTTACTCGCTCATCTCCTCCTGGTTTTGCCTATACTGCTGGGCTCGACCCCCGTCCGGAGCCCTCTTTACCACTCGGCCCTGTCTATCATACATCTTGCCATCTTCCTCAGTAACCAATCCCTCATCCTTGTTCTTGAGGAACTTAGGGCACTCCAGGGCCCTATGCGCGCCATCCAAGAAGTAGAAGCACATGACCCCCGACTTCCTCTGAAATCTCTTCTTCTTTTTCTGGGTTCCTGGCGACGGAGGCTCCTCTTCCTTCTCCTTACTCACTTCATGACTCTGGGGCAGGTGCCACGGTCCTTCAGCTTCCCCTTCGATTCCATGGGCACTTGAATCCCCTTGCTGCATTTCTCTCTCGGGTTGGTACTCAGGGGTATCCGATCTCAGTGGCCAGCCCTCACGGGTTACCTTCAATATGGCTCCCTTCTCCTTCTCACAGGGCCTCAGAGCCTGGGGAGTAGTGGCTCTAGTAGGCTGGCTCGTGGCCTCCTGCTGCCACTGCTCGGTAGTCGGTCCTCCCGAATCGGTCTCAGTGGCCCATGAGCCTAGCTGTGCTCTCAATTCCCCCATCTCTAACTCGTGTTCCGAGGTTCTCTGCTCCCGAGGCTCCTCTGGCGGCATATCCACTTCCATGGCAGCCACCAACTCGTCCAAGCGGGATGGCTCCTCCCCCTGTGCCTCAAGTCGTGGAGGCTCCATCGCTCCAGTGAGAGTCCCCTCCTGTACGTCCAGAAGGATTGCCAGTGACTCTTCTGCCTCCCCCTCTCCTACTGATGCAGGTTGGGGTTCTTGGGCCAGCGCCTCCATAGGAGCATCTGCCGAAGTAGCGGCCTCCTGCTATGAAGCCAGCTCAGTGGGAGCCTTGAACTCAAAGCTTCCCTTGTTGGCTTCCTTCCTTGCCTCTGCCTCAGTTGGGTCGAGAAATACCTTCCCCAACTTTTCTTGCTGAGATGCCTCTGTTGCCTCCTCTTGGCCAAATAGCCCTTACACCCCTTTGCCTTGGATGCCGTACCTGCTCTGCTCAGTCCAATCGATCACCTTGGTGGCGGCAAGTCTTTCCACCGAGGCCGCCATTTCCTTGAGCTTTGCCTCCCACTCAGCCTCCTTCGCCTCCAGGCGAGTTTGTCTGGCCTTGTTCTCGGCCCTCTCCTCTGCGAGTTGGGCAGTCAGCTGTTCCACCTCGTCTTTCCTGAGAGCCAACTGATCACTAAGAAGGGAGTACCTTTGAAAGGCCTCGATGGATGTCTGCTTTATCTCCTTGTCCACCCACTCGATGGCCTTTCTAGTGGCGGCAAAACCCAACTCCCCAACCTCTATCGCCTCGTCCGCACCCTCAATTGCCTGGCTCGCCTCTCGTGCCCTCTGGCGAGCTGCCTCTCTCCACCCCTCATATCTGGCCCACAATTCGTCAATCCTTTCTTCACTTGTCTTTGGGGCGACTGGTGGCCTTGGCGCTATCCCTGCAGCCTCCATCCTGTCCCTTCGTTCATGTATCTCCTCAAGGCGAGCTCGTACCCTAGCACGCTTTGCTTGGGCGGGTTTGTCTGGCTCCTTTCCTGTGCCTGCCTCCGCGACTTCCCCAGTCGCAGTCTGCGAACCCTCCCCTAGCTCAGCACCCGCTGGCCCCGATGATGGCCCAACCAGGCTGGGCTCCTCAATGTCAGGGTGCTCGGCTGCATGCGCGGCTAAACGTGAGTCGACAACCAGGCGGGGCTCCGTCCTCCACCCCTCCACTGGCCCTCTCGCCTCAACCTCCTGCCTGGGTGACATAGTGGCCTCTGGTGGTGGTACTGGGGCTTCCTGGTTGTCTAGCTCCGCGACGCCCTCTGGCCAGGATCGCCGTGTCTGAGCTCGAGCGGGTGAGTCAGGGGGAGTATCACCTCCCACCACAATGACATCTTTCGCACCTACCATCTTCAATCTGAGCGGCCCGGTCTCGGGCTCTGGGCGAGTCTGCCCTCCCCCTGATGGGTCCGTGGGGCTTTCTCCTGCTGAAGGGGCCTCCCACTGGGACGCGTCCAAGTGGGCCTCCGGGCTCCCGAATGGCGTTGCTGGCACCTCACTCTCCCTCTGCTCTGGTGCTTGTGACGAGGGTCCCAGTAGGTCACCCTCTGTGACTTGATGGAACTCCACCTGCCTGAGGCCACAAGCAGGGAAGGACTCCCTTGCCCTAGTTGGTCCTGCTGGTCCTCCCTCCCGCTGTGCCAGGGCCTTCCGGCCACCTCTCAACGTCACCGGCTCTCTTGCCTCCAAATCCCTTAACCTCTTGCTCCGCCGCCTTCTATCAACCCTTGGTTCTGGCCTCCCTGGTTCCGGTCGCTAAAACGCCATCCTTAGCTGGGCCCGACAATCCTTCCAATCTCGTGCCCGACCCTGAATCTGTCTTGCCAGCGGACGCTCCACTCCTTTGGTCCAAATGAGTAACGCCTGCACCCACTCATCCCTCGGAACCCCCTGATTGCTCATATATTGTTCGTATGCCGGGATGAACTCTTCAACGTTCCTTTCTTCCAAGCGGATAGGTAGCCCATCAGTCCCCAAAGGCGAAGCTCTCAATCTCTGCATCCTCGATTCTACCTCTGACCAAGTCAGGGCCTCCTCCTTAATCTGCGCAATGGGCTCCTCGAACCTCCCAACTCCCCTCAAATGACGTACCCTCTCGGACACGTCCCATCCTCTCCGGGCTGCATGCTCTCGGTAGGCGTCTAGGAAAAGCTCGATGTTGTCATCATCAAACACGGGTGTAAGCTCTCTCCTGAAGGGCCCATGCCGCTCCTCCCCTCCGGATGCCCCGAGAGGTCTCTGTCGTGGCCGCATGCCCCGCCCGCCCCTCTGCATGGCTGCCTTCTAGAAAGTCAGACCTGCACATTAGGTGAAACGAAACAAACAGGCACATGACAGGATCAACATATGGTTCCAGCAGTCTTCGGAGCAGATGTACACCCAATCTCAGACACATCAAGCCTTTCTTCGCTTTCAATCATGACATGCAATACCTAGGACGAGGGTCTACTCTGGGAGGGATCGCAGTTACTGGGAGGGATTGCGGCTTTACCTATTCCTTGGCCACAAACTTTTTGAGCCTTGTCCCGGACACCCAATCTTTCCATTCCGTGCCATTTAGCTCCTTGATCTGGTATGCCCCGAATTCGCCGCATCGCACAATCCTGTAGGGCCCCAACCATCTTTTGCCAAGTTTTCTTGACCACTACTTTTCCAGGGATGAGTCGTATAATAGCACACTATCTCCCACTGCCAAGGGCTCCTTCCGCACTCGGGCCATTTGATCCCACCTCATCTTATCCTCCATGCGACTTCTCTCTACCTGACCAGCGGCCTCTCGCAATCTTTCCTCGGCCGCTCCCACTTGCCGTGCCCGAATATCGAGCAGTTCCTCAAAGGACAGGTTTACTTCCAAGTCCTGGCGCCTCCACGTTTTCATAAAGCTTTCTATAGGGAAGGTGGCGTGCCTCGCGTACCACAACGTGGCTGGCGCATACTTGGTAGTCCTCTTGACCGTAATATTCTCCACGAAGAAAGCCGCTCGCAGGAATTTTGGCCACTGACCAGGCTTGCCCTCTGTCTACTTAGCCAAGAGATTCGTGATGGTATTGTGCCCCCTTTCCATAGGAGCGTTCGCTTGAGGGTGCGCGGTCGTAGCGTAGTTGGCCACTACCCCATATCCTGCAAGCAAAGTCCGCACCTCATTGCAGGTAAACTCCGACACCCGGTCCATCACGAACTCCTTGACGAAAGGATAGCGCAGGTAATACTCCTCCATGCAATTTGCCAAAACTGGGTCAGTCTTCGTCCGGATGGCCCGCCCGTCTACAGACCCGGTGAGATTGTCGCGTGCATCGAAGATGTAGTTGCACCCATTTTCCCCCATTAGCATAAACAGCAGGTCCATGTGTACAACCGCACCCACTTCCCTTTCCAACCTTGGGTGCAGGGGCTCTCCCGGCCTTTGCGCTGACCTTTCCTGGCAAGGTATACAGGATCGGCAGTACTTTATGACCATCGTCAACATTCCGTCCCAATGGTAGAGCTCGCTTATCTTTGCGCATGTGGCACTCACCCCTCTGTGCCCACCTGCTATACCATCATGTAACGCCGCTATGATGTCCAACTGTCGGTTCCTCTCGCACACAATCCGCTTGGGATTCCCAACTTGCCGCTTTATAAACAGATGTTCATCTCTCACCATGTAGAGGTGCCTCATCTTCTCCGCCTTGTCGCTAGCGTCCCTGTCCCTCATCTCACAGGATAGAAGTAGGCCCAGCTTGAGATAGATCCCATCGTATTCCTCTGCCCGGAATGCCTCCTTAATCTCTCCCTCTTCGAACTCGTTGTCTTGGCTTTCAGGAATCAGGATTTCGTTCTCCTCATGACTAAACGAGCCTCTCCGGTCGAAGTCTCCTTGCAGGAGCGTATTAGTGAGCAGATACATCCCTCCCATTAGCTGCTCATGTTCCTCTACCTGAGTAGGCCCTTCCTCTATTGTCCTCACCTCTTCCACCAAACCATGTGTCCCTGCAAGCGCCAACTTCATCATTCACTGAGTGTCCTTGCCTCCCCACGGATCTTCTTTCTGAAATGGCTTAAGGACTAAGTCAACCTTCCGCTCATATCCTCTTGGTGCTATCCATATGGGATAGCTAACACAACTGGGTACTCACAGCGCCCACTTGTTTATATGGAGTCGCACATCCTCTTCTTGATCCAGGAACCCGTCAACTGGCGGGGTGTCTTCGATCGACCCCTGATCCATGATGTCCCAGTTGACGCGGCTCAGGCCGTCAGCCCTGTTCTTATTCCCTGGGATCCTCTCCAGTTCAAAATTAAACATCCAAATGTACGTCAACCATCGGGCGACAGTTGGGTCAGATGGTGTATAATTTTTCAAGGAGCAGGCTAACGCCGTAGGGTCCACTCTTAATATGAATCTTCTACAAAGACATAATTCTGGAAGATCCTTAGGCAATGGAGTACCGCAAGCGTCTCCTTCTTAAACTGAGAGTAGTTCCTCTCAGTTGTGTTAAGAGTATGACTTTCGAATCTTAGCGGCCTCTGCTTTCCTTCGGCATCCGCGTGGATCAAAAACCCTCCTAATGCAGTCGGCCCAGCGTCCGTTTCGATGATGAATGGCTTTTCTTCAGTCCTTTCATAATTTGGCACTCTCAGCACCAACCCTCCCTCCTTGAACCTCCCTTCATCCTGGTTACCGCTTCTTCCTGGTCTTTTCCCCATACCCACTCCTGGTCCTGGCGCACCAGCTTCCTTAAGTGCTCAGTCTTGGCGGCGAAGTCTTTCACGAAGCTTCTCCAAAATCCGCAAGTGCCAAGAAAGCTTCTCACATCCGTTATGGTCTGGAAAGGCACCGGCCACTCTAGGATTTTGTCTGTCTTCTTCACATCTGGCTTCCGGCCCCTCTCATTGCAGAGAAACCCCAGGATGGTGGCCTCTCTCATGCAGTGCTTGGATTTTGGCCAGCTTGCAGTAAGGTTGTGCTCCTCTAGCAGACCCAAAACTCGATCGAGATCCTGGATATGCCTCCAAACAAAGCGTCTCACTCCGGGCTGCACCTCGTCCTCCTCTCTCTCTTTTGGCCCTTTGACCGCCAAGTCGTCGATGTAGGGTTGGGTGATGTGTGGGCTGATTGTTTGCATGGCCCTGATCATATGTCTCTGCACGATCGCCACCGCATTCGTCCAACCCTGAGGGGCCACATTCATGTGGATTAGCCCTCTTGGCGTGTGCATCGCCGTCACCGGTCTATCGGGCGGGTAGACATGAAACTGATCATACCCGGAATAGAGGTCTATAAGTGAAATTATAGGCCTCCCCGCGCATGACTCTGACAGTGCGTCTGCGTTCGGCAAGCCTCCCGCATCTCGCACCGTTACCGCATTCAGTCGCTGTAGATCCTGTACCCAACGTAGCGTCCCGTTCGGCTTAATAAAGCAGAACCAAGGGCAAGCGTACGGACCACTAGAGTAGCCGGCAACATGCGTGCGCATCTTGCCATCCAGATAGTCCACCACCATCTTCTCCTCATCAGGGTTTGGGTATCGCGCACCCCTCAAATTCCAAGGCTCATGAGGAACGGTGTGGATCCGGATCATCGGGATCTTGTCCACATCCAGCCTCCCACGCTGGTCATCATTGAAGGCATATGCGCGATGCCTCTTCTTCATCAGTTGCACCATCAGCGCCCGCTCCTGGAGCGAAAGAAAGCCTGGCTCCCCGACTATTAGCTTCTCTTCATTTCCATCATTGATACGGCATGGATCCTTCAATGCCTGCTCTTGCATCCGCCGTATCAACCCTCGCTCCCGCTCGTAATAAGCCTCCTCATCTTCTGTAACGAGCACGGGAACAGGGCGACACTTCTTGTCTACCGTTTTGTACCGCCTTTGGGCTCCCTGCTTGAGCCGTCCCCTAAAAAAGGTCGGCCTGTCGTTTGCGCCTGTGCCATCGCAGGCCCTTTCTTCCCTCCAGGAAGCTGATAGATAAGCTCCTCGCCTGTGAGCATTCCAACACATGCTCTCGCAAGGCCTTGATGGCCTCCGGATCCACCATTTCATGCGCTGCCACGATCTCCATAGCCTTACTTACGTCTGTAAGACTTAGGAACAGCACCTCCGCCCTGCCTTCCTCCTCGGACTCCTCCGCGAGCCTCCGCCGCTCGTTCTCCGATTCCACATAGGTGAACGAGCCGGGGTTAGGCCTATTCCACTCGCTCTCTGGCCCCGTGTTCCGGCAGGTGACAACTTCATAGTTCCCACAAGCTGGATCACTCAGGAGCAATATCATCGTTCCGTCGTGCTTGTTGAAGATCAGGGTCTCCGTTCTGCACATGAATGATCTGCCCAGAAGGATGGGATGATCCACATCTGGCATGACGAAAAAACACGTCCTTGCTCGCACCTTGCCAATCTCTATGATCACATTCGACTAGGTGCCGCAAAAAACTGCCTTGCAGTTAGCCCCGTGCAACACACCATGATCTGCACAGTCGATCTCCATCCCGAGCATGAGCGCATCTCTTTCCCTAATGATGTTCATTTCAGCCCCCGTATCCATCATCGCCACGCACTTCTTCTCTTTTACCACCAAATCCACCAATCAGCATGCCGCACACTTCCAGTCCATTCTTGTCCCAGCTTGTGTCCATCCCACTTCCCTGGGCAGGACAACACTCAAATGCACGTTGGGCACTAGCCTTCAAGACAATCGCCCTTTCAACTCTTCCCGGAGTCTTGGTGCAGACGCCAGAATGTCTTTCAAGTTCATAAGGTCGTTATGACCTTCAAGGAGTCGGTCCACCATCCTTCCACATCAAAGTCCTCCTCCAGCCTGACGGTGTACTTTCTCTTCCTGGGCACGCCATCCTGTGTCCCTGACTCGACTCTCTCCTGCGCCTCTTTTCTCTGCGCTCTCTGCTCCGTCCGCCGATCCTCCTCCTGACGGAGTCTCTCATCCTCCGTGTCGTCATCCTCTTCCTCTTCTTCCCGGACCTCAACCACCTCCTTTCTACGCTCAGGCTCGGGTCTCTTCCGTGGGGGTGCCTGACTTGGCGCTTGGCTTGGTGGCTGACTAGGGCCCGCCTTACTTTGGCTCCTGGTTTGAGTTGCTTGCGGCGCCCGCCCGTGCGGGGTGGGCGGCCTGAACATCATTCCTGACCTGGGGCCGGACCCCGCCACGGCAACACCGGGGCTACTCTGCTGTCCAGCTGCCGGCCCCGACCCAATCTCATAAAGGAAGACATTTGGGAGGTCGGCTCTCCACCCTTGGACTTCATCGCATAACTCTTTCAGCTTCCGCTGGTACCTCCCTATTTTTTTCATCAAATCCTCATCTTTTCCAGGGTGGTTACGGCCGGCTCCTTTTCATCCTCTCTTTCCTCGTCGTCTGACTCAACAATTATCGGCTCTTCTTTTATGGCCCCGACCTTTAATCATTGCGTAACCTCCGCACTATCCCCCGTGATCTCTTCGATTCTTATGGCCGGGTCTTCTCTCTCCTGCCACATTCTAAACATGGTCGGGGCGGCCGATGGCCCTGCCGCTGCCCGCCTGAGGGCTTCCGACCTGATCCCTCCCGGGGTCCTGGGGTCAATGTGCTCCCCCCACTTGTCGTATATATCCCCATCCATAGAAGAGGAAATCAGGCCCGCAAGCTCATCATCCCGCCGTTGCTGGCAGAACCAAATCGTGTGGCCTACAATGCCACAATGCCAGCAGGTCGCGTTCCGCCAGTCGAAGCGGGGTCTCCCATACACTTGGCCTCCTTGCTGACTGCCCTGGTCACCTTGGCCTTGGCCCCCTTGGCTGTTCCACCTACCGCCACGTCCCCCTCCATTTCGGCCTCGTCCGCCACCCCCTCAGCCTCCTTGTCCCCGACCACCATTGCCCTGTCCTCCTTGCCCTTGGCCTCCTCCTCCC